GAAAGGATATTTGTGGATGTAAGTGAATTATCCTTTCCCCACCCTGCTGCTCCTGGAGGGGTGGATTTCCATCCCAAAAAGCTCTGTATTGACACTGGGTAAGTGTCACTGGAGCTGCTGTAGCCTCCAGGTCTCTCCCAGCAAATAAACAAACCTGAGCTGCCCCTGCCCTCTCAGAAACACCAAAGCCCTGTGGAAAATCCTCTCCTCCCTCCACTGACATCTCTTTGGTGCAGAGGTGCAGTGCCCACCCACAGGGCTTGGTTTGGGCACCAGAGCTGGGTGGGGTGGAACTTTGCAATGGACTCAAAGCTGCTTTTTTAGCCATCAGATGCTGCCCCATGAGCAAAGCCAGGGTGTGCAGTGTGATGTGGGCACCTGCAGAGGATGGATCTTGGCCTTTTGGCCCATCAGCCCTCGGGCTTGGATAGCTGAGGCTCATCTGCAATCCACAGGACGAGACATTTTGGATTTTAAAGACACCAGAGGTCACCAAGGAGTGGCTTGGACACATGGGGCTCCGTGTCTTGCTGTACCACGACCTGGGGAAGTGCAGATGGGCTGGAGAAGCTCAAGATGAAACATGACAGCAACTGGCCTGAGGCAAGTACAGACCAAATCAGGCAGAATAACAGGAGAGGCTCTTCATCAGGTGCCATGGAAAACACAGGCTCCTGTCCTTGGCTGGGCTCAGACATAGCTGCAGGAGGTGGGGCTGCCTCTCCGAGCTCTCTCACTGCATCTTTTTTTCTCCTCAAGTGGATTGCAAGGTTCAAATGTTTCCCTTATGTTTAGAAAACCAGCCTGGAAAAGCTCTCAGCCATCTGAGGCTCCTTGAAGAGGAATAAAAGCCTTGGCACAGCCATCAGCAAGGGGGGAGAGGGCTGGGGAGCTCAGCTCTGGGGACACGGGGTGGCCACAGCTTGGGAGGGCTCTGCCTTGCACCAGAGGCTTTGCTGGGGCGCAGCAAGGCAAATTCCTGCCTCAGCTCCTGCATTTGAGGTGGGCAGACCCATTCTGTTGACCAAAAGCTGTGCCACCCTCAGGACCAGGAAAAGCATTGTTGAGAAACTAAGAACAGGGTTATTCCCATTTTGGTGTCACCAGACAAGCTGCCAAGCAGCTGCCACCTTGGTGTTTCTCTTCTTAAAAACATAAAGAAAAACCAAACTCACAAAGAAATGCAATTCCTAGACTAGATCCATTTGAAAAATGTGTTTTTGCCATCTCCACTGTGGTTTATTTGATTAATCCTCAGTGGAGTGGGGAGTGGACTCCAGGGATGAGGTCCTACCTCTGCATGGTGAGTGAGGGGTCTGCTCACTGCTGGGATTTTCCCAGATTTCATGGGTAAAAACCCACTTGTCCTTCTTTCCTTCCCTCTCTTCTGTGTGTTGGTTTTTTCCTACATCTCAAGGAACACATTCCCCATTTTTTGTGGGATGGTGATGTCTCCCTCTGCTCCTGTCCTAAGAAGGAACAACAGCTTGTCAGATCCTCAGGAACTCCAGGGAAATGCTGGTGGCAGAAAATCTGGATGTTTTCCACTGGGCTTGTGCCTGTGGGTGGGTGGATGGATGGATGGATGGATGGATGGATGGATGGATGGATGGATGGATGGATGGATGAGGGATGGATGGATGAGGGATGGATGGATGGATGAGGGATGGATGGATTCATGGATTCATGGATTCATGGATGGATTCATGGATGGAGCCATGGAGAATGGATGGAGGGAGGGATGGATGGATCCATGGATGGATCCATGGATGGATGGATGGACAGGGGTGATGGCACAGTGATTCCACACTTGCCCTGCCGTTGGAGGAGGCTCTCTGTGCTTGGCAGCAGGGTGTAGCAGAGCAGATGACACTCCCTGGTGAGGGCTGGGTTTATCTTTGGCTGCTGGGTGGGCCTGTGCCATCTGCTGTGCCCGGGGTGTCGGTGCTGCAGCGCAGGCTGTGCGTGGGGCTGAGCTGGGATGAGTCAGCTGGCCCTGACCAGCTCTGCAGGGAGCTGCAGCACCGATTTTCTGGTGCAGCAGCTCCGAGCTCGGATCAATAGAAAGAACTCCTTACATGTCTGATCTCTGCCCATCTGTCTCTGGGTTGTTTGTATCAGCTGGGTTCAGCCTGATCTCTGTCAAAGTGCCCTGGAAGATCCTCTCCCTCCACCCTTGAAGTGTGTCTGACTATTCAGACCAGGAATGTGGCACTGATGAGGTTGAGATTTGCAGATTGAAGGCTTTAAGTGGCCCCTGTCTGCCCAGCCCTCTGCAGTGCTTTGCCACAAATCCCATGTCCAGCACGAGGGTGTGGTTTTGGGGTTAACACCATGGTGGAGTGACCCCAGTGATCCCAACTTTGCACCATCATCTTTGAGAGCTGCTGCAAATCTCCAGCAGCAATTTGGCATTTAGATCTTTTTATAAGATCTCATTTGTTGAGGGTTTGCCTTTCTCTCAGGCTTTCGTGTTATTTAGTAGGTGTTTCATCTCCTCTAATGTGCCCAGAGGAATCTTGGTGCATCTGTGCTGCTGAAGGAGGGCTGGCATTAAGCAAAAACTTCCCTTTTTCTGATGCTTGGAGAAGCAGGAGTGGGGTTGGAGGGGTGTAATTAAAGCAGAGTTTTGAAAAAGAAGAATCCATGCCAGATGGACAAAAGCCACGACACAAATCTGAGTTTACCTGGCTCTGGCAGCACAGCAGGCAACGTTGGTGGGCCTGAGGAGCCTCTGCAGCCCAGAGAAGTTTGCAGAAAGGAACCTCTTGCCTTTTTGCATAACAGCTTTCACATGGCACAGCCTGAGCTCTGTTGACATGCAGCAAACAGCAACGCTGAGAGAAGGAGGGGGAGCACTGGGAATTGGCCCCAGGAGCTGGGTTAATGGGATCAACAGCCAGAGAGGGCTCCTTTAGCCTGTGTCTCAGTTTCCTGGGGTTATTTTATTTTATTATTTATTTTATTGTATTTTTTATTTTATATTTTATATTTATTTTATTTTATTTTATTTTATTTTATTTTATTCTCTGCTTGAACATCCCATAACCTGCTTCAGCTGGAGCAGGGAAGGAGTGCTCGGGTGATTGTCAATAAATTGCAGTTTTGACATTGCAATTTTTGACATTATTGGAGTGCCTCAGCAAGGAGCTTGGTGGGTTCAGAGAGCTGTGTCTCATGGCCAGAGATGCTTGGGCTGTTCTCAAGCAGAATGGGCTCAAATGTGTTATGGAAAAGTGTGGGATTTAGGGTCTGTGACAGGGTGATGGAGAAAGAGAGAGTTCCCGTTGCTGCTGCACAAAGCTGCCTTCCAGGTGTAGGAAAAGCATGTGCAGGTTTCCAAGGGAGGTCATTAATAACAATAATAATGTTATTAGCATCTAGTGAGTGTTTCTCATCTCTGAGCTGCTCAGCTATAATTCATCAGCATGTGACAGCTGCTGGCAAGATCATTCCCACCCCACAGGATTTGGGACAGGTCTCTCCTGTCTGTCTGGAGCCAAGGGCAGGATGGAGGTTTGCATGGAGCTCCTGTCCCACGGGAGCTGCAGAGGGGCATGGCATGGCCTCCAGGGAAATCCAGCACTGCCAGCCTCAGAGGTGGCTGAATTTGGGATTTCTGCCTTAAACTGACCTGAATTTTCTTTAGGATTCCCTGATTCTGTCCCTTCACCCACCCCTTTCCCTCTCCAGCAGTGACTCAAAGTGTGGCTTCCTTTGTGGTGCTTTGTCTTTGACCTTTTTATTTCCAGGACCTGTCCCTCTGCGGAGGGGGGCCTTTCCCTGTCCAAGCAGGGCCATCCCTCTCCATGCACACACAGAGCTGATTTCCCAGTGTGGGGCTGCTCCTGCCTTCCCCCAACCCCACATTCCCTGGCATATCCCACTCTGGGAACTGACAGAGAGGGGTGATCCTGCAGGATGCTTTGGGGTTTCATGGCCACCTGAAGGGCCTGGGGGTGAGAAATGCTGCTCACTTCCAAAATATTTAAAAAGTTTATTAAAACCTTATAAAAAATACAACACAAGACTGAATAGATAAAATATTACAGTGCTGGGAGAAGAAGATTTTTCCCACCATGTGCTCACCCACACAATGGAGGTTTTGCCTTTTAACCCCCTAGCTCCTCCAAAATTCTGTCCACTGACTCCTCCTTCACTGTCCTTAAATCTTGATTGGAGGTCAGGTGCTGCCATAGTAATGAGTCAACCCTCCCAAATGTCCCCAGCCCGGGCCACCCCCTGATAACAGCACAAGGGGGGTAAAACATAACTATAAATCTAAATCTAAACCCTATAAAACTTCTCCTAACATACATACATGATATTTGCCTTTTAATTGTGAGAGTCAGCCATCACATTGTGGAGATGACAGTCTGCTCAGAGAGAGAAAGGCAGATAAACTTTCCATGAATTCGTCTGGGAAGTTTTAGGGAGGCAGAGAGAAAGAATGGGGAGCAATCCCCATTGTAATCAGTTGTTTTCCTCATAAGATGTTTTACCAAAAGGTGTCTTCTGAATTAGCCAGTCATGTGGAATGTGTTGATTTAGGGACCAGTCACTCCCACTGGTCCGTATGGGAGCAGTGTATAAAAGAAGGGGTTCCAATAATCTGGGGCCTGTTCGCTTTCTGACCTGGAGTCTGTGTCACTTATCCCTTCCTGACCCAGTGGTGACAAGAACAACTGACACAAGCAGAGGACACAGTCTAAGCTGCACCAAGGAAAATACAGGTTGGATATCAGGAAAAAGTTTTTCATGCAAAGAGTGATAAAGTTCTGGAATGTTCTGCCTGGGGAGGTGGTGGAGTCACCATCCCTGGGTGTGTTTAACCAAGCCTGGATGCAGCACTGGGTGCCAGGGCTGAGTTGAGGTATTGAAGCTAGGTTGGACTTGATGATCTTGAAGATCCCTTCCAACCAACCTGGTGATTCTGGGAATTCTGTGATCCTCCCCTGTGACAGTCTGACCGTGGCACTGTCCCTGTGTGTCCCTCACAGCCGTGCAGGAGGAGCGGCAGCGGGGCAAGGACCGCAACGAGAACGAGGTGGAGTCCACGAGCAGCGCCAACGAGGACATGCCCGTGGAGAAGATCCTGGAGGCTGAGCTGGCTGTGGAGCCAAAGACAGAGACCTACATCGAGGCAAACATGGGCCTGACCCCCAGCTCGGTGAGCACCTCTGCCCAGCCCCTCCTGGGGACACCACAGTGACCATCAGGACAGCTGAGGCACAAAGGAGTTGTCCCCTGTGGGAAAGAACTGTTAGAGAACTTCCTTGAGCTAGGTTTCATAAGCTTTTAACTTCTTTGAGCCAGGTTTCATAAGCTTTTAGAGGCTTATAACACACCTAAGATAGTTTAGCTACTTTTGGAGGCATAAAAATTACCAAGATGGCTTCTGTTGCAGTGTTAGAAATGAAAAGGTTTGATGAAAGGCAAAATAATAAACAAAAACTGAGCTAAGTGCAAGAAGTATTTGCTTTTGATAAAATACTTTATAAAAGCAATTAGTTTCTTTGTTCACTTATTTTAAAGTAAATTACTAAAGCAAGACTTTTTAGCTTTTGTCTAATTAGCAATTTTTAAGTTTGAAGTGAAGCTCCTTAGGCTTATAAAGTTGCTTTTTCACCTAATCAAAGAAAGAAACTTTTAGGCTTCTTTCTTTCTTGAGAGGACAAAAAATACTCTTGTCACTCCATCAACAAAGGGCACACTCCTGTAAAGAACCAGCTCAAAAATGCAATTTTTGGCTCTGCTGTGGGCTCTGTGAGCCAGCTCAGCAGCAGCACAGCAGAGCCAACAGCGTTTGGTGTCTTCTGTCCCACAGCCACAGGGAAGTGAGAGGTGCTGTGAGGAGAGATTAAAAGGGCTCTCAGAGAAGGTTTTATTGTAAATAACAGCCCTCAGTGCTGAAAGGCAGGAAAACACACTGCTCTGAAGAGCTCAGAGTCCAATTGAGGCAATAAACCTGCGTGGCTGAAGTGCAGGGAGATAAGAGCTGGGGAATGAGGGTGTGACTGTTCAGGTGCAGAATTATGCAGCTGCTTGGCTCTCTGAGGAGAGAAAACCTGGAGAAATTTGCCTGTGAGTTGGTTTTCAGGTTCTTTTCCCAGTTAGGAACTTGCATTATAACTGGGCCTGCTTGGAGCAGCTGGGCTGTACCAGGGTGTTGTGTGCACGAGGGAGGGATGGCAGGGAAATGGGACAGGAGCAGCCTGGGCTGGTGGAAGGTGTTGGGATGAGATGGTCTTGAGGTTGGGATGAGATGGTCTTGAGGTCCCTCCCAACCCAAACCAGTCTGGGATTCTGTGAAGAGTGAGGGGAAATGTTTTGGGCCCTTTCCTGTGAGATTTCCCTTATCAAAAGGGAGAAATCTCCTAATGTGAGAGCCAAACCCTCTGAAATTCCATTTCTGGGACAGACCCTCTGCAGCCCAGGCAGTGTTTAAGGGCAGCCCCCACTCCTCCATAGCCCCATTTCTCATGAAAGAAGTGGGAATAGAGGAATTCCTCTGAAAAATAGCAACTAAAGCTGGACTGAGAAGCATCTCCTGGTTGTCCCCAAGTCCTTTGAGGGACTCAGAGGTTGAGCTCTGCCAAGAGAGCAGGCTCATGCACTGAAACATCCCTGTGCAATTCCTGCTGGGTGGCTGTGAGGCTGAGCTGATGAAATGCAGCTATTCCGAGCAAGTGCAAGGGCTCTGCAGTGGTTATCTTCTGTTACAACAATACTTTCATCTCTCTCTTTATATCAGGCTTGGAGGGTTTGAGTCAGAAATCCCTTCCTGTGGCAGGGGGTTGGAAATGGAGCCTCTTTAGAGTCCCTTCCAGCAGAATTCTGTGAGGGATCTGGGAGTCAGTAATTGACTTTTTGGGATGATTTTTTTTTGCAAAGACAGCTTTTCCTAGCATTCCTTAGGTGGCTCTTGGATAGTCAAGGCTTTGTGGGATGGACAGAGCCAATCCCTCAGTGAAACTCTCCAAAATCAGGTACAAACCCCTCAGGATCAGGCACAAACCCTCACCTGCATTTAGGAGGAGGATCCCATCCCCACAAGGCTGTAAAGGGCTTTATTTGGAGGAGTCAGTGAGGGGCTCAGAGAGGCTCTGACTGCTCTCAGGATCAAAAATCCTTCAGGGGAGCTGGAGCCAGCCTGGTGCTGACTTGAAAACAAACCCCAGAGAGGGAGCTGAAATAAATGGCTTCGTCTGGCACGGCGTCTCCTCAAATTGAAAGCCGGTTCCTGCATAATTCAACAGGCATTACTGTGAACAAGGATGTGTGTTGCATCTAAATAGAAGCAGGAGGCTTGTTGAAATGCCCTGTTATTGTCAAGCACGAGGTGACATTTGTAGCAGGTTTAGCAGATGGATGAGATCAGCAGCTCCCGGTGACGAGGCCACCACAGGATGAGGAGAGAGAAGACAGGGGAGCTGCCGCCCTTCCCCAGAGCCCAGGTGATGGAAAGGCAGACAAATCGAGGCCCTGATAAGCACGGGGAGAACACGAGCTGTTTGCTGTTGGGTGCTTTGATTTGTGCCTCTGCACTCAGGCTGGTGACCTGCAGGGACATTTCCAGCTGGTGGTGCCAGGGTGATTCAGGGATTAGCACCCTTGTCTCCCACATAGAATGGGTTAAAAGGGACCTTAAAATCATTTTAAAAGCACCTTCCACTATCCCAGGTTGCTCCAAGCTCCATCCAGCCTGGCCTTGTGCTCTTTCAGGGATGGAGCAGCCATCTGGGTACTCTGTGCCAGGGCCTCCCCACCCTCACAGGGAAGGGTTTTTCCCCAATATCTGCTCTAACCCCACTCTCTCATAGCTCAAATCCATTCCCCCTTGTCCTTGTGCCTGTAGCTTGTCCCTGTCCCAGGGGGTGGCTTTGCCTCTGCCCCATGCCTTGGCACTTTGGGCTCCTGCCCTGGGACAGGCTCCTGGCCAAAAGGCAAAGCCTGTAACTGAGAGCTGTCCTCCCCATTAGGTCTTAATCGGCCTTTGAATGTCTGGTTTCAAGTCTCCATTTTGTGGGAGATGCCTCCAGGCCGCAGTTTTCCAGGAGGATCAGGTGCCCTTGCTATTTACTGCAGGAGGGGATTTGCTTTCCGTGCCCAGGGAGCGTTTCCAGCACTGCCCTGGAGCCAGGCAGGGCCCTCTGGACACTTTTAGCTGCTTCTCGTGCCCCAGTGATCAGGTTCTGCCAGGAAGGGCCCTGGTGGTTCCAGGAATTGCCATCTGAGGTGGAACTGAAGCCGAGGATGAGGCTTTGGAGCACCAGGGCTTGGGGACAGCTTGTGCTGTCAGGGACAGCCAGGGCTGGGGCACAAGGAGCCCCTGCTCATGGTGACAGCCTACACAGGAGCCAGCCCTGATGAAAGCTTTGGCAAAAACATCTGATTTACCTGAATTGCCCCTTCTGAGGGGCTCTGCAGGCCCTTGTTGCTGCAAGGGTTGGGTTCTGCTGCAGCATAAATCGTGATCCCCATCCCACCTCACCTGGATGCCAGGATTCTTCACCTGGCTGAGCAAACTGGGGTATCTTGAGGGAAATCAGGGTCTGTGGTGTCCCTTCCTGTCTCTGAATATCAACATTCCCAGTGAGACCCTGAATCCTTCAAAGCTCCTCCTCACACACATTTCTGGGTAAATCCCAGGAAAAGCCCAGTTCCTGCTCACTTCTCCTTTACAGGGAAGAGCCCCAGCTCCCTGGCAGTGAGACTGCCCTGCCCTTCAGCCCTGGGGGAGCTGCTGGAAGGGGTTGGGACACGGAGGGCACATCCCTGTGCGGTGCCAGCCTGTGCCCATCCATCTCTGCACATGACAGGTGGAAATAATTCCAGGGCAGGTGCCCTGAGCGTGCCAAATCCTGGCTATTTTAAGCCTGGAGAATGGGAGATGTTGGCCACTGAGGCACAGAGCTCTGTGTTTGCTGCCAGGGGATGGGGCAGGGCTCTGAGGGGCACAGGGCTGACTTGGCAATGTGGTTCTGCTCTGCCCAGCCTGGGAGGGGGCTGTGCCACAGCTTGCCCTGACATTCCAGCCTGCTCTCCCTCTGAATTTACACCCTTCCCCTTGCAACCCAACTTCTCCTGCAGTTTGGAAACTGCTCTTTTAAGGCCATGGAGAGAAGGTAATTGTACAATGCAGGCTGCTGGATATCAGCAGGGATTACTGAGGGAGATGGGAAGGGCTCATACATCCCTGTCCACAGAGGTAAACCCTCCAGACTCACTTGGATCAGCCAGCTCAGCCTTCCCCAGGGTTAAACAGGCTCTTCCAGTTCCTAATCACAAATCCACTTGAGCTGTGAGCAGTTCCTTTAAACAGGGATTTGGTGTGTTTAGGCTGACTGTCCTCCTCGAGAGCAGATGGTTTCTGTTACTGGATAATATTTCAAAGGAAAGGGGTTTTCTCTTTTTTCTTTTTTTTCCTGCAATGCCCCCTCTGGTGCTGGTTTATCGAGCTGGGAGATGCTGGAGTCTGCCCTTCCCCAGGATTCATCAGTCAGGGTGATGGATATGGAGTCTCAGCACTCCCAATTCCCGTGTTGGGGCTTGCTAAAAACAATTACAACCCTTGTGGTGGAGCAGCCAAATCACTTCCTTTGCCTGTGAGTGATAACACCCACCTCAGAGATGGCAGCAGGCTGCTCCTCCAGCCTCCCTTTCCCTCACTCTGCCTTTTCCAAGCGTTTCCATCTCTTTTAAAATTTATTTTTAAATTTTTTTGGCAGCCCAACGACCCGGTGACAAACATCTGCCAGGCAGCAGACAAGCAGCTCTTCACCCTGGTGGAGTGGGCCAAGAGGATCCCCCACTTCTCTGAGCTGCCCCTGGATGACCAGGTCATCTTGCTCAGAGCAGGTGAGTGACATCTGTTGGCAGTGCTCAGTGTCCCCTTGGGACAGGTTGTACCCTTTAGGTCCTGGCACCTTGAAAATCTTTAATTGATTCTTGATAGACTCTGATCGTTTGGTTTTTAAATAGGATTTTGAAAGCCTTTCCATGGGAAGTGTTGGTGAATTGGATCCAATCTGCTGAAAAATGGCCCAGCTTCATCTCTGATCTGAGGAACTCAGAGATGGGTGCTGGGTGGCTTAAACCAAAGGAGTTAAACTCTGCCTTCCTCCCAAACTGAGGCTTGAAAGACCAAGCTGGGCTCAGGCCCCCATGAAATTTCATCAGACTGAAATGTTTGATCATAATTAAAACCAGAAAGGAGAGAAGAGTACATCTCACTTCTTCTCCCACCCACCAAGATGAAAATAGAACTCTCAGGGCTTATTTTAAATTTCCTTGTGCAGCAGGGGGGCTGCAGGAGCAGCATTTGAGAGGTGGAAGCAGTTGGTTGTAGGAAGGGTCTTCCCCTGTTGAGTGAATTCAGGCTCCTGCTGCTGCACAGAGCTCATGGAGGGCAAGAAACCAGGAGCAGAGCTTGGGGAGGATGAGTTTGAGACATGAAGCTCTTTGTAAGCCAGGGTTGTTGAAGTCCTTGGTACTTTTAAATTCCTTTTATTTCCCCCAAATTCACTTTTGTCCAGATCCTGCACCCTTCCAGGATGAAAACAGAACTCTCAGGGCTTATTTTAAATTTCCTTGTGCAGCAGGAGCAGCATTTGGGAGGTGGAAGCAGTTGGTTGTAGGAAGGGTCTTCCCCTGTTGAGTGAATTCAGGCTCCTGCTGCTGCACAAAGCTTGTGGAGGGCAAAAAACAGGAGCAGAGCTTGGAGAGGATGAGTTTGAGACATGAAGCTCTTTGTAAGCCAGGGACATTGAAGTCCTTGGTAAAGTTCCTTTTATTTCCCACAAATTCACTTTTGGGTCCTGCACCCTTCCAGGATGGCTCCTGCAGCCTCTGGGGGAAGGTGCTCCATGGGTTTTGCCAGAGCTGGCTCTGGGCCCTTTGGAACATCCAAAGTGTGGGTTTGAAGAGGATTTCTAGAGCTTCTTGTGAAAGGGGATGAGCAGGGAAGCCTCTCTGTGAGGATCTTTGCGGGTTTTCTGCAAAAGCTGGATTCAGACAAAGCTCTGCCTTTTCCTTTTGGGAAGTAGAACCCAGCCCCACCATGGCAGCTCCAGGTTTTCCTCTCTCTTCAGCAGGCAGCTGATGAAAACTGGCGCTGGAGAGCTCCTGACCTGTGTTCTCTGTTTGTGACCCACTCCCCACAGCAGGAGAGGAGCTGCCAACCCCCTCACACCCCAAATTTCCTGGTGCCTCCAGCCCTGAGCCTGCTGAGCAGCTCCCTGGAGCTCCCTGCTCCACACACCTCTGCCAGGGCCTCAGATAACCTTCCAAGCAGTGGCTCAATGTTTTATTGAGTGGCCTGCTGAGAACAGCTGCCCATGAAATATTGAAGCATTAAAATCCAGCTAAGAGCCTCAGTCAGGCATCCTGGGAGGCAAAACAAGTGGAGCACACAGCTCTGGAGGAGCAGTGCAGCAGCTCTCCTCAGATCCTGAATCATTTAAAAACATTCCCTCTCTGAGCTGTTGGGAAGGGAAGGAAACCTGATTTTTTAAAGCGTGTTTTCCACCAGTTTTCTTGTTTCCAAGCTGAGACAGGAATAACCTGATGTTTTCTCAGCCTGGGAGAGGATGCTGTGTTACATCCCTGCAGCTGGGTTTGTAGGGCTGGTGGGGAAACTTGGCAGAGAAATGGAGTGACACAATGACCACTGCTCTGCCAGAGTGCATTCCCTGCCCCAGAGGAGCCAGAGCCACCCTGCTGGGTGAGGAAGGAGTCACATTGTCACAGAATTCTGCTCTGCCACTCCAGAGCTTGGCTGAAATGCAGAACTCCCAGGGGACACTTGGTTGGTCTCTAATTCCAGTTTGCTGCCTCTGGTTATGGTGAATTTTCCCTGCTTGCCTCTGTCTTGGCAGCACTTTGGGAAAGCCAGAGTGCCTTCCCTGCCCCAGAGGAGCCAGAGCCACCCTGTTTGGGGAGAAAGGAGTCACAGGAATCACGGAATTCTGCTCTGCCACTCCAGAGCTTGGCTGAAATGCAGAACTCTCAGGGGACACTTGGTTGGTCTCTAATTCCAGTTTGCTGCCTGTGGTTATGGTGAATTTTCCCTGCTTGCCTCTGTCTTGGCAGCACTTTGGGAAAGCCAGAGTGCCTTCCTTGCCCCAGAGGAGCCAGAGCCACCCTGTTTGGGGAGAAAGGAGTCACAGGAATCACAGAATTCTGCTCTGCCACTCCAGAGCTTGGCTGAAATGCAGAACTCTCAGGGGACACTTGGTTGGTCTCTAATTCCAGTTTGCTGCCTGTGGTCATGGTGAATTTTCCCTGCTTGCCTCTGTCTTGGCAGCTCTTTAGAAAAGACAAGGTAGGAAAATCTTCCCCATTTCAGCTGAAACATCCCAGCTCTGCACAGGAACAATCCAGAGGAAGGATGCTGATGAATCCAGCCCTCCTTCAGTGGAATGAGCCCAGCATGGAGTGGGTGTGGAGAGCCAGCTCTGGTTCCTGTTGGCTGCAGCTGCTGTGGGGCTGTGTGTGATGAATTCCCATGGATCTGGCTCTGGGAGCTCCTCTTCCTCACAGGAGCAGGGCTCTGCAGGCTCCTTCTCCTCCATCCTGCTCGGGTTTCAGTGTTGCAATCCCTGTGAAAGTGCCAGGCCTCACCCAGTAAATAGCCAAAGAAATGTTCCCGTGGCTGGGGTGGAAACATCCTGTGGCCACTTAGGAAAGAGTGAACTTTATTCCTTGTCAACATTTCTGATGGCACAACCCACGGCTGCAGCAGAAGGTAAATACAGCACACATGGGCCTTGTGTTTATTCCAGGCTGTGAGATGAGTTCTTGTGACAGCAGAGGTGTGGGATATTGTTGTGTTGCTTTTCCAGCCTGGGAAAAAAACCCTTTAAATCCAAATATCCTGGAATAAAATATCCAAAGATCCTGGAATATCCTGGACCAGAATTCCAGAACATGTTCAGCCCAGGGGTGTTGCAGAAGACCCCATCTTGTCCTACTGAAGATGCTGCTCCTGGCTGGAAGTCACCCAGATTTCCACCCTTCAACCTTGGCAGCATTTCCTCTCGTTTGGGGCTTTGTTTCAGGAATTCTTGAGCTCAGCCTGTGATGGATTTAGGAATTGAAGAGGTGTTGGATGGGGAAGGGGAGCTGGAAGGTGTGGAGGTCACATCTCCCTTCTCTTCCCTGTAAGTCTGGGCTCAGAGGATGTCCTTCCCATATCCCAGAGCAGCCTGCCCAGCTGATAAGACTAAAATCTGTTTTCCAGTCACAGACGTGGGGCTGTGCAGAGAACAAACCCAATCCCTCCCTCCCAGCATTTTCACGGCAGAAACAGCAAACCCACAAATAAATCCAGAGATTCCATGGTCCCTTTGCAGGGCTCAGGGCTGGTGAATGAACTTCTGTGGCCTGAGGAGGAGCCTGATGAGCTGATAGCAAATGCTGATAGGGCTGGAAGTGCTGGGAGGTGAGGACAGAGGGGAGCTCAGGGCTCCACACCCACGAGGAGCTTCAGGCAGAGCTGTTTGCTCGCTGTCTGCACGGTTTATAGAGGAAACTGCTCCCCTTATTAGCTTTATTTTTAGTGCACTGGGTTCCTGATTTTTTTTCCTTTCCCTGACATCCAAGAAAAAGCTGGCTCCTCCTTCCTTTCCCACATCCAGCCACGTTCCTGCACCAGAGGCTCCTGTTAGAGAGCTGATGTTAGAGAGGAGATTTCCTGAGGATCCCACAGCTCTAACCTGCAGCCTTGTCACTTGGATCTTTTTAAGATTTTCTAAGCCTTCTGATGCTTACAATCTTGTAACAAAATTTCTCACACACTTTCTGTAAATAACTTATTGTTTTGCATTCTTTTATGGAGGAAGAGAAATTTGATGGACTGTTGGTTTGTCCAGTGTCATTGGAGAGGTGGCACTGTCACCCTCCAATCCACTGCCACTTTTAAAAATCCATAAGAAAGGTTCTTGTTACAGAGGTGATGTTAGAGAGGAGCCTTCCCAAGGATGCCACAGCTCTAACCTGCAGCCCCACTGGTTTCTCTCGTGGCCAGGGTGGAACGAGCTGCTGATTGCCTCCTTCTCTCACCGCTCCATCGCCGTGAAGGACGGGATCCTGCTGGCCACGGGGCTGCACGTGCACAGGAACAGCGCCCACAGCGCCGGCGTCGGCGCCATCTTCGACAGGTAGGGTGAGCTGCCATGGCTGTGATCACACATCCTCCGAGCACAGAGACATGCGAGACACAAAGGAATTTAGAGATTTTTAGAGGAGTGAAGATTTTAGTTAGAGATAAGCTTTGTTGGAGTTAATTGAAATTAATGGGCTGGCCTTGATGAAGTTAAGAGTTAGTGGTTGACTGTCACAGACATCTTTTCATTAAAAATCCTTTCTTAGGATTTTTCTTCTTGAGAAGCTGAGAAGCTTCAAGAACAAAATGTAAACAATGGTTATCTGCTGCTGTGGAATGCAACAGGTGCATCTGTGATTGGCCCATCTTAGATGTTTAGAATTAATGGCCAACCACAGCCCAGTTAGCTTAAACTCTCTGTCTGAGACACAAACTTTTATTATTCATTCTTTTCTATTCTTAGCTCAGCTAGCTTTCTGAGATAAAACTTTTTCTTTTATTCTTTTAGTGTAGATTTAATGTCATATATATCTTAAAATAATAAATCAAGCCTTCTGAAATATGGAGTCAGATCTACATCTCTTCCCTCATCCTAACACCCCTGTGGTCACTGTCACAGTTGACTAATAATTGGTTGATTGTCAACACAATGTTTGGTTAGCTGGGTTTATAATATAGAATTTTAAGAAGAATATTCTATATTCTTCTTAGAAGGCTAATTTATTATTTTATGATGCTATATTATTTAAAAGAATACTAAACTAAACTATACTAAAGGATACTTACAGAAGGCTTAGAGGATACTAATGAAACTCGTGACTCTTTCTCCAGAGTCCAACACAGCTTGGCCATAATTGGCCAATAAGTCAAAATAATTCACAGCAGAAACCAATGAAACAACCACCTGTTGGATGAACAATCTCCAACCACATTCCAAAGCAGCAAAACACAGGAGAAGCAAATGAGATAATATTGGTTTCCTTTTTCTCTGAGGCTTCTCAGCTTTCCAGGAGAAAAATCCTGGGCGAAGGGATTTTTCCAGAAAATGTGACAATGACAGTGGGAAACTTAGGGAAAAGAATTGAAACAATTCTTCTCTCTCTTTCTGTAACCGTTGTTTATAGATCTGGTTCTCCAGAGTGTGCTGTTCATAGCTCACCAATGGTGTGAGAGGTTTTCACTTTGGGACCAATCAAGTCTCACCCTAGCAAGTCACATTATAAAAGAACCTGCTGCTTTCATTAAATTGCTTTTTGATCCACCTTCTGAAGGCTGCAGTCCTTCATTCCATCCCTGCCTCAGCATCAGGGATGGAGGGCTGGGGTTCCATCCAACCACCTCACCTGGACATCCCCATCCCTGTCTCCACCCCAAACTGCCTCCATTCCTGCTTGAGGGGTCTGAGGAGCCTGGGATGAGGGAGTCCATCCCATGGAAACACAAGGAGAAAACCCCTCCTTGAAACCTGCAAAAATCCCAATGGCCCCAGGCACAGGGGAGCCTGCCCAGTGCAAAAATCCCAATGGACCCAAACGCAGAGGAGGCTGCCCAGTGCAAATCAAAGCCCCTTTCATGGGGTCCAGGTGCCTTCTAATGTTATGAGCAGGCCACTCCTTTGTTCCTTTTCATCTTTAATTGGACCAGGACGTGATTTTATTTGCACAATGAGAAGGCTCCAGTGATACTCAGCAGGTTCCACAGGCGTGTCCCGAGGGCTCTTTAATCTCAGGCTTTGGGAAAATGTTTTAAAGCCAGGCTTGCAGGGTGTTTGACCCACAGTGTGACTCCAGATGCTGCTGAAATGCTGATTTCTCTCCCTGAGACTCATCTTGAGTTGAAACCAAATCACCTTTGCTGCTCTGCTCTGTGAGGAAATTGTTCTTCGGACCTGGGTGACATCATTTGTTCCTGTGAGGTCATAAGTGCAAGATCATGACTTTGCTGCAGGATCTAACATGAAAAACTGGGCAATCAGTGGAAAATATTTCAAGACCGACACCTTCAGTAAGAGCAAAGGGAGCAATAAAAATTACTGGCAGAGGAAATTACTTTTAGGTACCTGTTGGGGTGGGTTTTTATTGTTATTTTTTATTTTTAGGCAGCTTTCTCAGGTGCCAGAGCCTCTCAGTGAATGGATGAAGGCGGTTTTTATGGTCCCTGTTGTATCTCACAGGAACTATTGATGTTCCTAATGAGCTATTTTTTGATGGAGGAGGAAAATGAGGCCACATCCTCAGCTGGTACAGACCAGCACTATCCCCAGCTTTGTTAAACGTGACCGGAGCTTCTCACTTCAGCTCTGACACCTGGGGCTTTTAATTCCGTTTTTTTTTTTTTATTGTTATTTCATGCTGACTCTGTGCTTTCTCTGTCCTTCTGCAGAGTACTGACAGAACTGGTGTCCAAAATGAGGGACATGCTGATGGACAAGACAGAGCTGGGCTGCCTGCGAGCCATCGTCCTCTTCAACCCCGGTGCGTGCCTGGCTCTGCTCTCCTGGCCCCTCCTGGCTGCTCTCCTGCCCTTCTGGCTCCTCTTTTCCCCCCAAAAAGCCCTGTTGGAATAGCAGAGGGCTCTAGGGCAGGAAGGGAGGCAGGGGTGAAAGTTGGTTTGGTTTGGAAAGGACCTTAAAAAGCTCAGCTTGTTCCAAACCTCCTGCCATGGGCAGGGACACCTTTCACTGTCCCAGGATGATCCAAGCCCTGTCCAACCTGGCCTTGGGCATTCCCAGGGATGGGGCATCCATCTGAGCACCCTGTGCAGGGCCTCCCCACCCTCCCAGGGAAGGATTTCTTCCCAAAATCCAATCTAAGCCTACTTTTTTTTCAGTTTACAGCCATTCCCCCTTGTCCTGTCAGCTCTCCCCCTTTTAGAGTGACTGTGAAAAGAAAGTTCAGGTGCTTCAGGGAATTGTCCTTGAACTGGAATACATTCCACAAAAGTGGAATCTAGATGTTGTTGAAGAGAAAAATGTGGATTAGAGCAACACCAGAGCATGGAAATAATTGTCTCTGCTTCCCAACCTCATCATCCAACGGGCTTTTATTACCTGCATTTCTGGAAAAGCCCTTTACAGACCTGGAGAGGCTACAAGACATGAGATGTGCTCATGAAATACACAAAACCTTCAATGTTTGACCACAGTTTCACAGACTCTGGGACGGTCACACTGCCCCCTTTTCCCTCTCAGCAGCTGCCCAAGGGATGAGGAAGGTTCAGTGCCAGGGTTTTCCTGCACATTCCAGGGAGCAAATCCAGGAGCCAGCCTGCACATACCTGCACAGCTCTCTGGATTTCAGAGTGGATCAGAGCAGAACCAGATGGCAGCCAAGGACAAAGCTCCCCATCCCTGCCCTCCCTGAGCACAGTTTGTGCCCAAGCACAGCTCCTTGCCTGGATTTTCCCACCACAGCCAGGCCATGCTGTTCCAGCAGGGTTTATTACAATTTCTTGGATTTGTTTTTCTTCTTGACCAGTTTGGGTTTTATTTTTTTTTTTTTTAGTCCCCCCCTCCTTGCAATCAGCAGTAATTTATTGTCTGTAATTTAGGATTAGCCATTTATGGTCAAAGAAGGGGAATCTGGAGAGGTTCCCGTGGCACATGTGCTTGGGGATATCGATTTCTGCACCGTCCCTTTCACCCTGCTAAAAACAGATCCTCGCTGTGCCCTGTGCTGGGGCTGTGCCAGAGCAGGGGCTTCTCCTTCAGCCCCACCAGCCCGGGGCTGGAGGGGGAATTAAACCCTTTCAAATGAGGGTCTGGGACCACTGGAATGAGCCAAAACATTTGGGGCTGGGCTGTGAGATGAGAAAAAATCTGTAATTGTGGGGTAAACCTTCCAGTGCTCCCCAAATCCGTAATTGCAGGGTAAACCTTCCAGTGCTCCCCAAATCCATAACTGCAGGGTAAACCTTCCAGTGCTCCCCAAATCTGTAATTGCGGGGTAAACCTTCCAGTGCTCCCCAAATCTGTAATTGCGGGGTAAACCTCTGAGTGCTCCCCAAATCTGTAATTGCAGGGTAAACCTCTGAGTGCTCCCCAAATCCCTGGAGCTCAAAGCTTGCCCACACTTTGGTGGGGCTGGAAGAGATGGAGGGAGTGCAGGGAGGGGTTTCTGGCTGGAGGTGTTTGGCTGATGTTTGGTTGTTGCCTTTCAGACTCCAAGGGGCTGTCGAACCCGGCGGAGGTGGAGGCGCTGCGGGAGAAGGTGTACGCGTCACTAGAGGCTTACTGCAAACACAAATACCCCGACCAGCCCGGCAGGTGAGCTCCCTGAGCCCCTCCTCGTGCACCCTGTCCCCCTGCAAACCCCCTGCCATGGCTGCTGCAGCTCCCAGAGTCCCCTCTCTGCTCTGGGCTCTGTGTTCCCAGTGATTCCCTGTGGATAAATCCCTCATTTCTACCCGCTCCAGCTCTGAGCATCCCTAAAAACCCTCCCCTGTGTGCAGTGCACAGAGCTCTATTCCTCTGCCAGGAAATCCAGCAAGGTGGGCAAACCTGAGGAGCCCCAGCTCCCACAACCCCAGCAGTGGGATGAGCACATGTGGGAAGGGGGGTATCATTTCCCTTTTGGAAACCACGGCCGGCGAAACCGCAGCAAAAATAGGACTCACATGGAGTTAATTTTCGGTGGCAGATGAGCATCATTGCTGGGAAGTGAAAGCCTCAATTGATGCTCTTTTTCTCCCCTCCCTGCCTCCCCCAATCCAGCTGGGAATGGGAGGGGGAATTAGGAATGTGTTCCTGGACGGCTCCGGAGCTGAGTGGGCGCATTTTCCCAGTTACAGCCTGGAGCTGGCAACTGCCAGTTCAGCTCCTGACAGCTTCTTGAGAAACCAAGCAAAGCACTGGAAGCTGCTACTGGTGCATGAATGGTGGGGGAAAACAGCCCAGGCAACTGGGATTTGCATCTCACCTGCATTCCTGGCCTCGTGTGGATGGTGGAATGAACAGGGAGCTTTCACAGCAGCGAGTGCAGTGGGCAGAGAGTGCCCTCAGAAGTGAGGCTGGATTTGGTTTTTCCCCCACTTTGGGTCCCAGAGTGCTGGCAGATGAAGAGAGGCGTGTTGTGCAGGGATTTCTGGGGTGTTTGAGGCAGGCAGAGTGAGGATGAGGGTGCCATGGGGTGTGTTTGGTTTGTGGTGAGCAGGGGGGGTGAGGGATGAGCACAGGGCACAGAGCAGGGCTGGTACCTCTTCTCTTCCAGAAAGTTTTATTAACCTGCATTTCTGGAGCAAATCCAGAGCCAGACCCTGGACTCTGGATTGCAGAAGAGCTGTTCCTGGCACCAGGAGAGCTGCCTTGGGAATCCTGGCCAGCAGCTCTTCTGGATGATTCCCTCTTGCTTTGCACATTGTGCAGGATCTGCAGCCTGGCACACACAGAGGATGGCACAGGGACAGCACCAATCCACAGCAGCTCCCCAGGGCTCTGCCTCAATGCTCTGTGGTGTTTGAGGGAATGTTTGAAGCCCAGAAGCTGCACCAGGGGCTCAGCAATTTAATCTCTTACTGGCGTTGAGTGACCTTGGGCTGGGAACCTTCTTGTGTGATGCTCACACCCATCCTTGGTGAGCTGAGAGGTTCTGCACGTTCAGGATGTCCTGAGAGCTGTGCCTGGGCCCTGCTGCCCCCCTGCATCCCTCAGAGGTGCAGGGCAGTGGTGGCACCACCCCAGGTGCCTCAGGAGGGTGAACCCCTGGGATGGGGGGGCCAGGGTTGCACAAGAGCTCCCCAAAGTTCTCCCACACTCTGGGCATCCTGCTGGCCCCATGGCACAATGCGCTCACCAGCTGGGGCTGCAAACAAGTTCTCCCTGTGGTTGAGCCACCCCTGCTCCATGCTGTGGGATTTCTGCAATTCCCTCTTTTTCAGGTGCCCCAAATCCCCATCCAGCAGCAGCTTGGGAGCACCCTGGAAACACCGAAAGGGAATTTTTCTGCACAGAGAGGCATTCCCAGGAAAAATCCTGCCCTGCAGCCCCTGCTGCTGCACAGGGAGGGCTGGGTGCCTACGTGACACCCAGCAGCCTCAGGCAGTCAGGAATCAGGGCTCCTTTCTCCCCTCCCAGCCCTGGCACGTTGTGCTCTGGGCTGGTTATCTCACAGTTAAACATATCCGAGGGCTGGAGCCATCATCTGGTTTGGTTTAAAGTGAAACTTCCTGAATGGGATGGTAGGGCTGATTTGTTTTTCCTGGCTCTGCTCCCACCATTCTCGCCAGCTCAGCAGAAAAAAAAAAAAAAATTTAAAAAAAAATAGGGAGAGGGAATTGTGCATGCATGTAGAATATGTGTGTGCTTGTGCATGTCTCTGTGTGTGTTTTCTGCTGTTCAGGACCTGATTTTGCAGCAGGAAAAGCAGATGACCCTGCTTTGGCCATTCCAGGGCTTTTTCCCTGGCTTGGGAGTGCTCACACAAGGAGGTGACATCCAGTGGCACCTGGGCTGCTCCAAGGCATATAAAACCAATGACCAGTTGGTAAACATTGTCCAAAACAACAAAACACAAAAGAAGCAAACAAAGCAATATAGTTTTTCTTTTTCTCTGAAGCTTCTCAGCTTCCCAAAAGAAGAAATCCTGGCGAAAGGATTTTTCCAAAAAATATGACAGTGACAGGGCTGCACGCGGGGATGTGTTGGGAAGGATGAAAGTTTGACAAGAGTCTCACAGATATGTGTGCTTAGCAGAAAGATTTTTAAATGTAGAATCTGATGAAGGAATAGAGATGGAAGCAAGTTTTGATATAGAAGAAAAGAATTGCTGAGCCAGTCTTAGTGGATAACCAAGGAGGCAAAGGGTGTGTGAGTTAGAAGGGTTTTTATGGCTTAGAGCAAAGGATAAACCCACCCCAAACAAGAAGATGCTTTTACCAAGCAGAAAGAGAGCACAGCAAACAAGGCAGCAAAGCTGCAAGTAGAAAAAAAGCTCTCAGAATTTTCCACTGCAAGAAAACTGAAAAACAACTTCTAGCTTAAACTGTAATGTACTAGTAAACTGAAAATGTACTAGCTTAAACTGTAATGTGCTAACTTGTAGTGATTGGGGAACAGTAACATGAATGTGGTAATTACAGTAGTTATGATGGGCTATAGATAAAAAATATGGTATAGATTGGTTGTTCTGTATTAAGATGCTCAGCAAAGTATATAATGCATTGTAACCAAAACCAAAGTATAAAATGCATTGTAACCAAAAGAAAAGTTTATAATGCATTGTAACCCAAACTCAGGGTCTCCAGGCCTGCCTGCAGCTGGAGCTGGCAGCTGTAGGCACAGCTCTGTCACCCACAGCCCTGGGCTGCTGTAACTCATGGATACAATAAACTGCATTTTGGAGAGCTGCCTGGAGTTCCCCATCCCTCATTTTGGCTCTTACAGTAGCGCCCAATGTGTGGCACCATTAGGAAGAGCCTGAATGAGGGACACGGGTCTCCTGGGGATGACAGCTGTAGGCACAGCTCTGTCACCACAACCCTGGGTGGCTGTAACTCATGGATACAGCAAACTCCATTTTGGAGAGCTGCCTGGAGTCCCACATCTCTCATTCGGGCTCTTAGAGTGGTGCCCAACGTGGGGCACCATTAGGAAGAGCCTGAATGAGGGATGCAGGTCTCTTACAGGGATGTCTGACCGTGCTGTTTCTCCCTTGCCCAGGTTTGCCAAGCTCCTGCTCCGCCTCCCAGCGCTGCGATCCATCGGCCTGAAATGCCTGGAGCACCTCTTCTTCTTCAAGCTAATAGGGGACACGCCCATCGACACCTTCCTGATGGAAATGCTGGAAGCGCCGCACCAAATGACTTAGAGAACTCTGCTGGGTCAGTCCCTCGCCCGGCCGGGCTCCCTGGGGGCCCTTCCTCTGCTTTCCTCGGCCCCAGCCCGTCCCTCCCTGCTGCCCCCAGGGCCACAGGCACCGTCTGCTCCGGGGCACCCCCGGCCTCCTCCTCCTCCCTGTCCGTTCGCTGTCACTGCTGCGTCTCCAGACCTGCTCGCTGGTTCCCTGTGCTACTTGTAGAGAGGAGTGGGAGCGGAGAGAGCTTTGCCAACCAACCCCTGCCCCCCTCCCCAGCCGTGCCATGAGGTTTGGGATGAGCCATCGTGGGGCTGGTGTCACTGGTGTCACCCCCAGCCCTCCCCTGGGGACAAGGACGGTGCCAGCCCTCGGGGGCAGTGGGGTTTGGATGAGCCCCTCGAGGGGAGTGGTTGGACTCTGCCAGATTTGCAGCTGGGCTATTTTCAGAGGATGGAGTTTTTTGGAAAAAAAAAAAAAAAAAAGAGAAGAAGAAGAAGGAAAAAAAAAGAAAAAAAAGAGAAAAAAATTCTATTTTTGGTTTCTAACTATTCTTAGTAGTCTCGGTAGTTACTTTGCGGAGGGAGAGGCCGTGCCCCCTGAATGAGTCACCCCTGGCTGCACAGAGCCTTCTCCTGCCACTTCAGAGCATTTGGGATTGAGCTGAATCCCCCCCCAAAACACGAGGCTGTGGCACAGGAGATGCCCTTTGGCCACCCTGGAGGGCACCCGGGCATCGCTGCCCACCCCAAAGCTGTGGACGTGAGCCAGCTGCAGCGCTTGCTTTAAGGCTGCCACTGACTCCCCATGGCCCTTCCCCAGCTCCTGGGGGCTTGCTGGGACCCCTGGCCTGAGCACAGCATCCCAGTACATCCCAGTGCTGTCCCAGTTCATCCCAGTGCTGTCCCAGTTCATCCCAGTGCTGTCCCAGTACATCCCAGTGCTGCCCCAGCATCCCACCGTGACCCCGCTCTGGGGTTTTGGGGTTTCGGCTCACCCACGAGGCTGCTCCTGTTCTTTCAGCCCTGCCAAACACTGCAAGGCAACAATTAGTGGGAGGGCTTGGCCAGGCTGGTTAATTGCAGCTGTTAATTAGTGGTGAAGCAAGAACAGGGCTCCCCCTCCCCTGGATCTGCCCCGTGGGGGTGGGAGGGCCTGGCTGGGTGGGGGATGTGGCAGCAGCATCATCCCTGTCCTCTCCGGGATTCTGAGAGCACCAAAAGCACCTTGGCTTTTGCACAACCCTTTCCTTGAGTCTTGGTGACAGGATTTTGGGGGTTAGGGACAGGAATGTGCCCCGTGCCCCATGGGATGGGATTCCCCCAGGAGTGTGTGGCCAGTGAGGGAAGCATCCCCCTTCTCCTCCCTCCTCATCTCCTGAGCCCCACCAAAAACATGAGAAAAAACAAAGCAGAGGGAATGATGAGGGATGTTGGGAAGGGTTTTCCCCCCTTGGCAGGATGGACACACTGTACCTGTGGCCAAGGGCTTCCCCAGCACTTCCATGTGCTCTGTGCTTTAAAAAGCAAAGGATGGGGTCCCAGAAATCCTCTTCTTGCTCCCCATGGTTTGCAGCTGGTTGAAAACTCCTGTGTTCCTGGAGGGGGATGGAGCAGCACCCAGCACCTCACTCCCACCTCTGTTTTGGAGGGGACACCGTTGCCATCTGCCTGTTGCCATCCCAGCTGGCAGCTGGAGTGCCCAGCTCCATCCCCTGCAGCTCCAAAATAAGAAAAAAACCACTGAGGATTTAGGATTTCAGGTGGCAGCTCCCCCTGGGGCTGGCCCGAAGTGGCGAATCGGCAGAGGCAGGCAGAGCCTTGGCTCTGTTTCCCCAGCAGCCTGCAAGCCACTGAAAATATTATTAAACAGCTTCACCCTGCAAGAATTTGCCAAGAAAACGAGGCAGGAGAAATGAAATCTGGCGAGGGTGCCAGGAAACACGAGCAGGCTGTTCCCTGCCAGCGCCAGGCTGGCGCAGCCCCAGGGGGGTGCAGGGAGGTGGAGGAGCCCCCAGCCCCGAGCCCACCCAGCCCCTGGGCAGCCCCCAGGCCCCAGCAGAAAGGAGCCTGGGACTTGCTGGGCACAAAGGAAAAGATTTGGGGAGGTTGGTGGATGTTGCACTAGGATAAACCTGCTGGTCTCTGGTGGGTTGAGCCACTTTTTTCCTGGGGGGTCGCTGGGGAGGGGCTGTTGGGTGCTGTGGAGGCACAGTGGGAGCTGCCATCCCGTCCCATCCCAGTCTCATCTCATTTCGTCTCATCCCATCCTGTCCCATCTTGTTTCATCCCATCCCTTTCCATTCTGTCACGTTCCATCATCTTCCATCCCCTTTTTTCCAATCTGTCCCCATCTCATCCCATCCCACCCTGTCCCATTTCATTCCATCCAATCTCATGTCATCCAGTCTTCATGCAATCCCATCCCATCCCATCCCATCCCATCCCATCCCATCCCATCCCATCCCATCCCATCCCATCCCATCCCATCCCATCCCATCTCATCCCACCATACAAAGCCAAGGGAGAGGCTTTGCAGGGCCCAAGCTCATCCTTGTGCCTCAGTTTCCCTCCTGGAGCAGCCCAGCCCCAATCCATGTCCTTGGTGGAGGGGATTTTGGGAAAGGCTGAGCCTTGTCCTGGGGATTTCACTTCTCAGCTGGTGAAAGGGAGTTGGGATTCCCTGAGCCCCCTCCATCCTCATCCCAGCCGTTCCCGTGGGAAGGAGAAGCTTTTGTGTGTTGGGAGCAGCCAGAGCAGCCTTAAAGCAACGAGCTTTGCATGAGTTTGAGCCTTTCCTTTGTATTCTTTTCACTTTGGGCTTGTATTTGTCGTTGTTGTTGTCCTCATCACGATAAGGCTGAGTGTGGAGAGGTGAGCGTGGCTGAAGGAAAACAAAAGGCACATTATTCCCTGGAGAGGTAGGACGTGGGTTTCACCAGCTCTCAGTGCTCTTGCAAAAATCTGCTTCCACTCGGGTGATCTATGTGTAATGTTTATTTTTAATTCCTTTTTGTTGATGGGACAATCTTTAATTTTCTAAAGATAGCACAAACATCAGCCTTTCAGCCAGCTGCTGCACCCCTCAACGCTCATTCCACCCACCCCATACCCAATACCCAGTGCAGCACATCCCAAACCCCCCATGGCAATGCCCAGCTTCCCTTGGCACTGCCCACGAGTGCCCTTGGGGCTGTCAGGGGGGGTGGGAGTGCTGAGCCCTGGCCCTGCTGAGCCCTCCAGGCAATGGGAACAGCCCTGGGCTGGGCTGCTGACCCCAAAACCATGCTGGGGAGCTGACAACCCCAAAAACAGGCTGGGGAGCTGACAACCCCAAAAACAGGCTGAGGAGCTGACAACCCCAAAATCAGGCTGGGGAGCTGCTGACCCAAAACCATGCTGGGCTGCTGACCCCAAAAGCAGGCTGGGGAGCTGACCCCAAAAGCAGGCTGGGGAGCTGCTGACCCAAAATGATGCTGGGCTGCTGACCCCAAAAACAGGCTGGGGAGCTGCTGACCCCACAGAAGGCTGGGAGCTGTCCCCATAGCCAGGCTGGTGGCTGTGCTGTCCCCAAAGCCAGGCTGGTGGCTGTGCTGTCCCCATCCCTGCAGGCTGGGCTGGCTGGGTGTCCGTGTGTCCGTGTATGTACTGTAGATATCGACACTGTATAATACCCCACTCACATGTACACTTAGAGAACTGTAGCAATTACAGACTTTTCCTGGCTTTTTGTGGTTTAAGTCGATTTTTTTCTTTTTTTTTTGGTGTTTTTTTTTTCCTCGCTTTTTATTTTGGTTTTTTTCCGTGTTTTGCTCCCATTGTATCTGAATCCCTTTCCGAATTGGCAGATGCCAAATCTGGATTTTTATTCCTCGAGACAAAGGAACTGCATCTATTTTAAGATGCCTTTTTGTTTTTCTTCTTTTTGTTTCCTTTTTCTTCTTTTCTTTTGTTTTTCCTCTTTTATTTTGGTTTTTTTTTTCGTTGTTTTAAGCAGGTGGTTTGGAGTAAAGAATAGCTTTAGCAATTCCCAATACTTAGTGATGGATGCCTTGGCTATGGGATACATAGATTAAAAAAAAAAAGACGTTAAAATTTAGAATGACAAAAAAAAAAAGATAAAACATAAGGAAAAAATATCTAAAGCATCAATAAAGTTAAAAATCTATTTTTGTACAAATGTAATTTTATCCCTTACCGTATCCTTGGATATTTTCTTTCCTGGATTGTTTTGTTTCTTCTACAGAGATTGTTATAAACTCTCTCTATTTTTTCTCTCTTTCTCTCTGTAAATGTTCAGCCACAGGGATCTGGAGAAGAGGGAGAAACTTCTGACCGTGTTTTAAAGGCTTTATATGAAATCTCTTTTGAAATAATTTTTTTGAATGAACTTTTTATTTTTTTTTTTCCCCCCCACTTCCAAAATCTTTTTTGGGGAT